AAGACCCATTACTTTCAATTGTTATTATATAGCATCATAAGCAATATTAGATATAAAATATATGATTTATACCTTCTCTTTCTTTATGTGCTCCTCAATGTAATTTTTAGTAATAATGAGCTTTATTCCATATGTTCCTATTTAATTCATTTTTCAGGACATTCCTCATACAAGATCACATTCAAGTATGATAAAATGGGAGAAGTCATGGAAGAGAGCATTGTTTGGGCTATTATTTTGGAAGTACTATGTAACAAGGTTTGATTCTGCCTTTTCAAGTTTATTTCACATACATATTCACTTCATAATTCCAAGTTAGCTCTGATATTCCATTTAATGCTTTCAGGAAGCCATCATCATTGCCACTCTTAAATTCTGATTCTAAACCCACTTGCAGAAGAATATGTCCGATTTAACTCAATGGGACTTATTTTTGAGAAGATATGTATAGGATTAAATTGTCTTAGTGGTGTTTGATGATGACTTTACTAAGGCATGGTGTAGTGGCTTCAAATCCCTGCTCAGCCATAGAAACCCAATTGATGACCTTAGACAAGTCAGTCTCTCAGCCTAAGGAGAAGGGAAAAGCAATTCCATTCTGAACAAATTTAGCCAAGAAAAACTCATGATAGGCTTTCTAACCATAAGTCAGAAATGACTTGAAAGCAAACAACAACAGAAACAGCAACAGCAGGAATGGCAACACAAGAATGTTTCCCTTAATGGTCTTGCCCTCTTTGAATACTCTCCTGGTGAAGTCAGAAGAAAATAACTTGCACTCCTCCCATACACAGTCATGAACAAAAGAAAACTGATTGAACACAAATGTTTACTGGCACTTAAGTCAAGTCATTCCTGCATTCAAAGACATATAAACATTTTTCCACCTTCACAGTTATTATAGGGGCTTGCATTTCTAACCAACACTGAATGAACAGGCTATTTATAGGTCTACTGAACATTAATTTGTTTGAATATTTTTGGATTTAATAACCAGATTAAATATTAGTGAAATTATTGTTTCAGCAGATCAGCTTTTATCTCTTTCCATTACTTGTATATTGGATTTTTTAAAAGATGTATTTCTTAGCTGGTGTATTTCAAAGTTTTATTTTCTCTGTGTTCACTCTACACAATTATTCATTTGGAAGCTAGATAACCTAAGGGTCTGGTTGCAGAGCTCATTCTTTCTTTCTTTCCCCTTTTCAATCACAACTTTATTACTTTGCCCCCTTTTTTGTGAAACCAGCTCACTCCTTGGTGTTACTTCTCCTAGGACACTGAAGCAGGTTGAAGCACTCGACAGGAGATCAATCAGTGTTCTGCATTTTCTATAAAACTACTCAATTATTTATTGAGATCTCTTTTACACTTCAACTTTTATTTTCCTCTCCAATAATTTTAAAGTTTAGGTTCCTAATATGATTTGCTCTGTAGATTTTTCTCTGCCCATGGGATTCAAACCATCTTTTAAAAATGATGGTGTTTCACAACCTTCATAAGAAAATTTAAAATATCCATGCCTTGGAGCTCTATACCTGTGAACTCTTCACTCGGGAGAAATCACGCAAAGACCAAATTAGATGGAGTGATGTGGGGTGGGGCAAATCTTTTCCAAACCAGAAAAAAATGAGAATTGAGTACATTGCTTACAGGTGGTTTATTTTATGTTTTTACAATGTATAATACATCTGAACCTATGTGTTAAAGATTTTGCTCTGTTTTCCTCACAAGCATTCCACAACTGATTGATTGATTGATGTGGGTATTTTTTCAAAAGACCTCCATATACGGAAAATTATTGTTTGGCATAGACCTACCTCAACTCACTAGCCGAGAAAAGAAATGAAACAAATAAACAATATGTGAATATGGACAAAAGGGGTACCTTTCACAAACAAGACTTAAGAAGAAAAAATGAAAAAGAGTAGCTGCTTAAATGACACAGCCACACACCACTAAGCAAGAAGTGAGAATATTGTCAAGGACAAGAAGGCCGTATTGTAAAACATTGCAAAGAGCCATTATCCACACTGTAAAATTTGACATCACTTTAACTGCCACAGTTCAATGCTTTAGAATCCTGGGATTTGTAGTTTGGTGAGGCACCAGCATTCTTTGGTAGAAATGGCCAAATACCTTGTAAAAATGTTATGTAGAATACTAAGGCACCTCAGTGGAAAGAAAGACTTCAACTCTGCCTATTGCAATATGGAAAAATTGCATGAGTTCATTGTCCATATTATTCTTATTATGGGGATACTTTTTTCCACACCGCTGAAGGAAATAGTGATTGGTTTCATGCTGCTTCAGCTAGTTTATACTCCACCTCAGGGGACTTGATCAACACATATATGCAACCCCCACTCTAGGAGATGGAGAACTACCGCTCATGTTGCTTATTTTTCAGGTCTGAGAAAAGCTGAGAAAAAACTTGTTAAAGGGTCTGGAGAAAAGTAGGAAATATTGAATTGGAATAAACCTTTTGACAGATGGCTAAATGAGGGAGAGAAGGATGGAAAAAATACCTAGAGGCCCACAGCCAGGAGTGATTAGGGCCAAACAAGTTATAAACTGATGGAAAAACTGAGTTAAGCAAAACAGCTATCTAGTGAACAAGACACTCCACCTAGTTTTATTCCTTTAGATAAAGTAAATCAGCATGTCATGTACACTTTTTAAAACTAAGGTATAGATAATTAGGATATTCAAATGAAGAAGTTTGATATGCTTTTTTTGGTCATGTCAGGAGCGACTTGAGAAACTGCAAGTCGCTTCTGGTGTCAGAGAATTGGCCGTCTGCAAGGATGTTGCCCAGGGGACGCCTGGATGATTTGATGTTTTTATCATCCTTGTAGGAGGCTTCTCTCATGTCCCCGCATGAGAAGCTGGAGCTGATAGAGGGAGCTCATCCGCCTCTCCCCGGATTCGAACCTGCGACCTGTCAGTCTTCAGTCTTGCCGGCACATGGGTTTAACCCACTGCGCCACCGGGGGCTCCTTGATATGCTTAGTTTAGAGTAAATGCTGACTTATGGGTTGGTTGATTTCTATAATAATTATCATCTGATTGGCAATTACTTATTTTTGTTATGTAATGTATTTTATATTGTGAGGCATTGAATTTTGCCATTTGCTTTGTTATAAACTGCTTTGAGTCCCCCTAAGGATTGAGAAAGGTGGTATATAAATGAAACAAACAAACAAGCATATACTTCTTTCTATGTAGAATTTAAAGGCTTCAGTTCATGTCTTTTTTGGTGCAACTCTTCCCCTCCCAAGACACTGCTCAATGATGATCTTTAATTTAAATTACACTGGTGTCTTCTATCTTTGAACATTGCTGCCTTCCATCTTTGAACTGTTTTGACATGATCTCTTCATCACAAGCAACAATGTGAAGTAAACAATTTGCATGAAATACCAGAAGCCCAACAATACAGATAGGCTCCTAAAAGTACCTACGTTACTGATTACCAGATGCTCTACTCCATCTAACAAAGGCAGCTGTGTCTCACGTTTCCTTTTTTCCCTCAACAAATAGCATCTAAGCCTAGAGATCATTAAAGAGGAAGAGTGGGAAGCTAGCCTTGTAAGTGTAGAATGACAAACCTTCTAGATTGAGGATGAGCAACTTTTAGTTTGGGAGAACTCAATAGCTACTGAACTCACAAGGATTACCACCCCATTTCTTCTAGGAGGCAAAAACTAAGTATGTATACCCTGTGTGCTTTCTTTTAAAGGTATGTTCTTGGTTTAGGGGTTTTTTTATCAGCACATTGGTGTAAATTTTCAGTGATATGGCAGCTAAACAATGGATTGGGTGTGACTCATGATGATAACATGTGTTACTCCAAGAACCAAGTGATAGTATACTTTCTCACTACCACTTACAGTGTGATCCCTAGTGAGCATCTATTTGTGTATTTATTTTCAATGTATACCCCACATTTCTCTTTTATTGGACCCAAAACATCTCAAAACGTATATTAAAATAATACAACTAAAATAACCCCGAATAACCTAGACCATAATATTTTAAAAAGCAATACACGCAATTTACTTAAATAAAACATCATTAAAAATAACTCTCTTTTCTGTGGGTTTAGATGCATAACACTATATATAGCATTTCATGCAGAGAACGATTGTCCTTTTTTACTTATTTACTCCATTTATATACTGCTTTTCTCAGCCCTTTGGGTGACTCAAAGCGGTTTTGAGTCGCTATTGGTAGAGAGCACTTTACTGTGTGATATCATGGTGATATTCTGATGTACTGTGAGAACAAGTGCCTTCTAGGTGTAGCTAATGTGGACTTTGTTGTTGTTTGCCTTTGAGTAATTTATGATTTATGGGAAGCCTAAGGTGGAACTTTCATGTGATTTTCTTCGCAAAATTTGGTTGGGAGAGGGGTTGCCCTTGCCTTTCAAGGTTGAGAGAAGATGACTTGGCCAAGGTCACACAGTGGGTTTTTATAGCTGTATGGTGATTTGAACCATGGGTTCTCTGCCTCCTAGCCCAACCCTAAAAGAAAAGCATTACACCACCCTGATATATCCTCTACATTTTATGATTTGGTGGGCAGGAGAACCATTTCCAGGGGCACTGTGTGAATGGCTGATGGTATTGCTGCCTTAACTTTTGTCAGATGTTGTCCTGTTGGCACTCCTTGTACCAAAACGCAATTCCATAATTTGTCCTAGTGTAATAGCAAAATTAGAGATTTCTTTTGTCTACTTTGCCATTTAAATCTAGTTAGACCTATATGTAGCTTGTTAAACATATTGCAGACCATGCACTTGGAAATTAAGGCATGGCTTTAGGAAATTAAATGTTTACAGAACACACATTTCTGAGATAAATAATTCTCTCTTTTATATGATCAAACAACCAGAAGGATCACTAAACGTAACAGTGATTTTGTTATGTTAAGTTAAAATAGAATGGAGGGATATTTAGTCAATTCTCCTTTTATTAAAATAAATTATTAACAAGTACCTTTGTTGTTGTCCATTCCTCCAACTGCATAGAGGGTCCCAACTGTGGATTTTCTTGGCTTAGTTCTTGGACTTTGCATAAGAGTTCGTCTTTCTGGTAAAAGATGATATTTCATGGCTTCCAGAATCAGCTTCTGACATTCCAAGTCATCTTTAAAAAGTGCATGGTTTTCAAGGTCAGCTAAAATCTGCAAATTATATGAGTTGTGATTTAGTAATGACATTACTATTCATTATATTCCAGTTACCTATACAAAATTCATGAATAGGACTTGGTCTGGGAGATGTCCATGAGGAAAGTAGATGGATAAGTAAAGTAAATAGCAGATCAGATTATATATAGAGTACCATATTTACTCGCGTCTAAAACACATAGATTTTAATTGGCTAAAACACATTGCCAAAATTAGGGTGCACATAAGTTTCAAATGTTATGGTAATCTAGGCACCCAACCAAAGGAAAAGGGGAAGTTCCTTCAGAAGCACCATGAGGCTTGCAGTCACAAGCAGCTATGGGGAAGAGATGGAAAAGACACAGAGAAAGCCGAGGGGCCCCCATAGAGGTCGTGGTGGGAAGGAGGAGATGTGGGAGAAGGAGACCTCGAATTCGGCCGAATTCGGACCATTTATCCAAAATACTAACAATTCCTAATCGGTCTCCTAAGGTAAATTGGTGTAACCAGGTGAGCGGACCCTCTGGACTGAAGGTGGTGCTGTTGAACGCCAGATCTGTCAACGGAAAAACGACCTGGATCCAGGACCTAATCCTGGACGAGCGGGCAGATCTGGCGTGCATCACGGAGACCTGGTTGGATGAAGCTGGAGGAGTAAATCTGACCCAGCTTTGTCCTCCGGGCTTCTCCGTGCAGCACCAACCGAGATCCGGAGGGCGGGGAGGCGGGGTCGCAGTGGTCTATAGGGATTCCATCCATCTGACCAGGTGCCCCATCCCGCAGACCGCAAATTTCGAAAGCGTCTACCTGAGGGTGGGTGACCGGGACAGTATAGGGATTCTAGTAGTGTACCGTCCACCTCGCTGCACTACGGTCTCCCTACCTGAGCTAGCGGGGGTGGTCTCGAGCCTGGCGTTGGAGTCTCAACGGCTTCTTGTGCTGGGAGACTTCAATATCCATGCCGAGGCGACCCTCACAGGAGAGGCTCAGGACTTCATGTCTGCCATGGCAACCATGGGGCTGTCCCAACAAATATCTGGCCCCACCCACTGTGCTGGACACACATTGGATTTGGTTTTCTGCCAGGGATGGGAACAGGGTGGCGGTGTGGAGGAGTTGTCCATCTCTCCGTTGCCATGGACCGACCACTTCCTGATCAGATTTAGGCTCACTGCGCCCCCTAACCTCTGCAAAGGTGGAGGGCCTATTAAGATGGTCCGCCCCAGGAGACTGATGGATCCGAATGGATTCCTGACGGCTCTTGGGGATTTTCCCGCCACCTCGGTAGGTGACCATGTCGAAGCCTTGGTCGCTCTCTGGAATGGGGAGATGGCCAGGGCTATTGACATGATTGCTCCGGAACGTCCCCTCTCAAGTAGCCAAGCTAAACCAGCCCCTTGGTTTACTGAGGAGCTGGCAGCTGATGAAGCGAAGGAAGAGGGAACTAGAGAGCGTGTGGCGTTCGGAACCGAGCGAGTCAAACCGAGCACGGTTTGTGTCCTTTCTTAGGGCATATGCCGCGGCAATAAAGACCGCAAAGAAAACTTTCTTTGCGGCCACTATTGCGTCTGCAAAGAACCGTCCGGCGGAGTTGTTTCGGATTGTCAGAGGTCTTTTAACTCCCCCCCCCTGTAGGTGGGAGCCCTGACAATTCGGTCGCGCGCTGTGAAGCATTTGCTCGGTTCTTCGCAGACAAAGTCGCCTTGATCCGTTCTGGGCTGGACGCCGCGTTAGATGCAGACTCTGTGGATGTAACGAGAGCACCTGCTTGTCCTATTTTGTTGGATTCTTTTCAGTTTGTGAAACCCGAGGATGTGGACAAGATACTTGGAGGAATGAGGCCCACCACGTCCATCCTAGACCCCTGCCCATCCTGGCTTCTGAGAGAGGCCAGAGGGGGATTGGCCGAGTGGGTAACAGTGGTGGTAAATGCCTCCCTTCGGGAAGGCAAGATTCCAGCGAGCCTAAAACAGGCTATCATAAAGCCGCTGTTGAAGAAGCCATCACTGGACCCCACTAAATTTGACACTTTCGGCCTGTTTCCAATCTCCCCTTTTTGGGCAAAGTCATGGAAAGCGTGGTGGCCTCACAACTCCAGGTATTCTTGAGAGACACGGATATTCTGGATCCGGCACAGTCTGGTTTCAGACCGGGACATGGTACTGAGACGGTCTTGGTCGCCTTAGTGGATGATCTGCGCCGGGAGCTAGACAGGGGGAGTGTGTCCCTGTTGGTGCTCCTGGACCTCTCAGCGGCCTTCGATACCGTCGACCACGGTATCCTTCTGGGGCGCCTTGCGGAAATGGGCCTTGGGGGCACTGCTTTGCAGTGGCTCCGGTCATTTCTGGAGGGTCGCACTCAGAAGGTGTCTTTGGGGGACTCCTGTTCCGCACCACAACCTTTGACTTGTGGGGTGCCACAGGGTTCCATACTGTCCCCCATGCTGTTTAATATCTACATGAAGCCGCTGGGTGAGATCATCCGGAGTTTCGGGGTGCGGTGTCATCTGTACGCAGATGATGTCCAACTCTGTCACTCCTTCCCACCTGCTACTAAGGAGGCTGTCGAGGTCCTGAACCGGTGCCTGGCCGCTGTAACGGTCTGGATGAGGGCGAACAAACTGAAATTAAATCCAGACAAGACAGAGGTACTCCTGGTCAGTCGCAAGGCCGAACGGGATATAGGGTTACAGCCTGTGCTGGATGGGGTCGCACTCCCCTTGAAGGCTCAGGTTCGCAGCTTGGGTGTGACCCTGGACTCATCGTTGAGCCTGGATCCCCAGGTTTCAGCGGTGACCAGGGGAGCATTCGCACAGCTCAGGCTCGTGCGCCAGCTGCGCCCGTATCTCGGGAAGTCTGACTTGGCCACGGTGGTACATGCTCTTGTCACATCCCGCCTGGATTACTGCAACGCTCTCTACGTGGGGCTGCCCTTGAAGACGGCCCGGAAGCTTCAGCTAGTTCCAGCGCGCGGCAGCCATGTTACTAACAGGAGCGGGACGCAGGGAGCACACAACGCCCTTGTTGTTCCAGCTCCACTGGCTGCCGATCTGCTACCGGGCCCAATTCAAGGTGCTGGTCTTGGCCTACAAAGCCCTAAACGGTTCCGGCCCAAAATACCTTTCCGACCGCATCTTGGCCTACGAGCCCACGAGGACCTTGAGATCGTCTGGGGAGGCCCTCCTCTCGATCCCGCCTGCGTCACAGGCACGACTGGCGGGGACGAGGGAGAGGGCCTTCTCAGTGGTGGCCCCCCGGCTGTGGAACACTCTCCCGGCACACATCAGACAGGCGCCCTCCCTTATGTCCTTTCGGAAAAGCCTTAAGACCTGGCTGTTCGAGAGGGCATTCAATTAAGTGCGAAGCATCAACATTACGGCAATGAAAACTGGTATGGCATAAGGAAGATGAGATTGGTTATGATTCTACTAAGAGACGAAGCGGATTTTTATGTAGTGTGTATTGTTGTATAGTTATGTTGTTGTTTACCGACCTTTTGTAACTGTCTTTTTATGTGTACTGTACACCGCCATGAGTCGCCCGTAAGGGCTGAGAATGGCGGTCAATAAGTACATCAAATAAATAAATAAAATAAAGAAAGAAGCTGCTTGTTCTAAAAACATTTTTCTGTCTCTGTGTCCCAAAGTTAGAGCTACTGAGGGCTTTGTCAGGGTGCCTGGGAAGTGAAGGGAGAACTTGGGAGAAAGGGAACAAGTCTGTCTTATGAGGAAGGGAGGGAGGGAGGAGAGGCAACAGTTGGTTTTTTCCCCAGTTCCTTCACCTGAAATATAATCTACCCTAACTGGTCTTCTTTTCAAATATTAATTAGCACAGACCCTGCTTAGTTTCCAAGATCAGGCAGGATTGTAGTTGAGTAAGTCCCAGGACTTCTGGCTGAGAATGAAAAAAAAATCCCTCCCTAAATTACAAGCCCCAGAATTCTGCAGGAGGCAGTCACAGGATTGAAACTGGGTGCAGACTCTAAATCCTATTTTTGGTGTGATTGCTTTTGGAGTATTTGGTCCCCATAATTACTTCCAGTAAATCAGAGGAGTTTTTCATGAGATTTGCTTGAGCAGCTGTATGTAGATTTGGAGGCTAAAGTTTAAGACTGCGGCATAATCCTCTTAGAGTGCATCTACACTGCAGAATTAATGCAGTTTGGCACCAATTTAAGTGCCATGGCTCAGTACTATGTCAACCTGAGAGTTGTATTTTGGTGAGGCACAACACTCTTTGGCAGAGAAGGCTAAAGACCTCGTGTACTATTTCCCCCAGATTCCAAAGCATTGAGCCATAGCAATGAAAGTGGTGTCAGACTGCATTAATTCACTGTTGATTCACTCAAGGACTTTGAAGTCACCTATATTGTAAGAATGTATGCTGTTTGATAACACTTAGAATACCATTATTCAGTGTTTGTACCATGGGAGTTGTAGCCAGTCATCTTTGGTAGAGTAGGCTAAAGAACTCATTGAATTACAACTTCCAGGATTCCATAACATTGAGCCAGGGCATTTTTTTTTTCGTGTCAAGAGTGACTTGAGAAAGTGCAGGTCGCTTCTAGTGTGAGAGAATTGGCCATCTAAAGGACGTTGCCCAGGGGATACACGGATGTTTTGATGTTTTACCATTCTTGTGGGAGGCTTCTCTCGTGTATTCACATGGGGAGCTGGAGCTGACAGAGGGAGCTCATCCGCGCTCTCCCCAGATTCGAACCTGCGACCTGTCAGTCTTCAGTCCTGCTGGCACAAGGGTTTAACCCAATGCATCACCAGGGGCATTCTACAGCATATATTCACCTTAGGAAGCTGAGGCAGGATAAACAGTAGAGCAGTGTTTCTCAACCTTCTTAATGCTGCGACCCCTTCATACACTTCCTCATGGTGTGATGACCCCCAACCATAACATTATTTTCCTTGCTACTTCATAACTGTCATTTTGCTACTCTTATGAATCATCATGTAAATATCTCATATGCAGGATGTATTTTCATTCACTGGACTAAACTTGACA